GGGTGGGTGGGGGGTGGGAGGGAGGGATGCTTTTCTCTCTTCAGTTGTACATTCTTATCCCCTCGGAAGGTACGCAAAATTCTTGCTGTGTCTCTATGACACCCAGCAGCTGTCTTGAGTGTGCAAATGCAAACGGGGAGGTCTGCTGCACGTCTCTGTACAATGATCTCTCGTGAGAATTAAGTGTCTCCAAATAATCCGTGAAAGGACTGAGGGCAGTTCTGGGCACTCCGATCTGAGCACGCCCTCTAGGGTCACTTTGCTTTTCATGCCTCTGTCGGAAGCCCTTTCGGAAGGCCACAACTACATTCAGGGCCAACTGTTCGAAACATTACTGTTTAACAATGGACCCTCCCCCAAACTCCTCTGTTTCACTCTATGGAAGAGAGGCTTCCTGTCTGGTTTCCCCTCTTTTTTGGGGGGGATTTCTCTGGAGGAAACCGCAGCGATGCTTTTGTTAATTGTTTTTTTTAATCGCAGAATTCTCAGGTCTACACGCCTCAGCATGAGACGATGGGCAGCTGCCACCCTGTTTCTCTGTCTGGCGTGTGACCGGCAGAGGCTGCCTCCAGCTGGGGCACGGGGCAAGGGCATCCTCCATCTCCTCTGCTCCCTCATTTGTTCTACGCCAGCCCATGCCAATGACCTGCTTGCCCCGATGCCCCCGGCAGGCCCAAAAGGGGACAGGAGAGAGCGCAGAGCTGCTGTCCTCGCAGAGAAGCGGGCCAAAGTCCAAGCCCGTGACCGAAACCAAGGGCCAGACTGACCACGGAGGGTCTGCCAAGGTAGCCAAGCTGCTCTTCCGGCTGAGTCTTGGGTCTGATCCCCGGCACGCCCCTCGCGGGACTCGACGCGTACTTACGGCGCTGGCACTGGGGTCCCCGGAAGCCTGGGGGGCAGTCGCAGCTCCCATCCTGGGGCGAGCAGATGGCCCCGTTCTTGCAGGTACAGGTCTGGAGGCACCGCAGGCCCCACCGGCCGGCCGCACACCTTTGGCTGCAATGGGGGCCTGCGGGAGGAGGGAAGCCTGGAGTGGGAGGAGGCTGGCGGCAAAAGAAGGCGCACCACC